CTCAAAATAGAAACGTAAATTAAATTACAAATTCGATAGTTTTAACTGTTTTATTATATTTGATAATAATGATTATAATTATAATAATAATAATAATTATAACAATAATAATAATAATAATAATAATAATAATAATAATAGTAATAATAATAATAATAATAATAATAATAATTAGAATAAGAAAAACAATAATACAAATGATAATAATAATAATAATAATTTTCAATGCTATTAAACAATAATAAACTCTATAGCGAGAATAATAAATGTACATTAATCATAGCTGTAAATATAACTTTTATATATAATTCTAATATTAAGATAAATACATTTTTGTCAATATAACAATTAATTTTATTAAATTGCCTAGATCAAAATGCATTGTTTTTGTCGGAAATTCAAACACATTTCACTTACGTTTAAATAAAATTTGTAAAAACATATTATCCTATTAATATTTTTTTTTCAAATAGGAATAAATGGAAGACAATATAATAATAATATACTAAAAATATGAATTATACAACTTTTAACAGTATCAATGTGATTGAGTCATTTTTAAAACAAAATAACGTGAACTTAAAGACTAGTAGGTGTGTACATCATGATTTCGGTAATTTAGAATTTTGGAATGAACTAAATATAAATGTAATTTATTCTTAATCTTGAGTACTATAATCAAATATTATAATAAACATATTATTCGTTTTAAGTAATGAAAACTGTATAGTTATCAAATATGTTTGTATATGTACACAGAATTTTACTAAGTACTTAAACTAACTGCTATTAAGGCAGGTATTGTTGTTTCTACTATATCCATCAGTAGTATTTGTAAAGATATAATAAATTAAAAAAAATCTAATTTAGAATATAATTCGTACAAAATACTAGCGATAAAATATAGAAATGTATTTTTTCAATATTATTTTGTTTTTTCTTAACATCATAAGCCTTAATAAATTATATACAATGAACTTAATGTTAATTGAGTAAAATTGAAAAATAAAATATCAACTACCTAATATTTTATACGCTTAGAATATTTTGTAGCTATTTTGTTCACATTTTTTTATAATATCAGGACAATAATATTATATTAGTATTTAATCCATAAAAAAAACATATTCATTTGAGGCTCAAGCGTTAACGTCCTCTTTGTGTTTTTGGACCCACAATAAAGCGAACGGAATAATATAGAGTTCGAATCGTTTTTTAAATTTATTATAACACAGAAATTACACATACAATTATATATTTTATTCTCAAATTTGAAGCACGTATTTTATACATAAAATTAAACATTATTATGAACATTTGAATTAATGGGATGCAATCAAACTTGCGCGTAACTTTATCTACATGCATGTATAATGATAATATTACACTGGGAAACAAAAAAAAAAAGAAAAGAAAAACCACAGTAGATATTTTCACACCAAACCATACACTACTTAGAGTAATAAGACTATAAAAGATTGTACTCTGCCACTCTGCGTGTAAAACGTTTTAGGTACCTGTCTATATTAATTTTGTTACTTTTATGAATTGGCGTTATTTATGATGAACATAGGTATGTAATTTTTGTTTCTTAACAACTATATTTAAAAATAAAATATCAAGTGATTATTTCGGGAAACAAAAGACATTAGTTATATTTGGTTAGTCTTATCAAATACTAAAAATACTTTATGATATTGTTCATTTTGTCCTATTTTTACAATAGTTACCTATTGAAGATCAATAAATACATTTTGAATCCCTATTTTTCTGAAAATGTAAATCAAAATAACAAAAAATAATTCATTTTTTGATAAATAATTACTCAAATTTATAAAACATGATTAGAAATTAAGAAATAATAATAATAATAACATAACTATTTTATGGTATTTATAAATTCTGTAAGTTTAAATATTAGAGTTTTAAATTTTCATGACTAAACAGTATATCATAGTTATGTGGTATAAGCCAATGAGTGGAAATGTCTAGAATATACCTAAACAATTTTCCAATCACATAATAATATATAGGTGACTATTTCAAAAATTAAGTTTATTATTTATCGGCAGGTACATGAAATAAATTGAGGACATTTTAGAGTATCTACTATATGTAGATATTTTGTAGACAAAAAAATTAAATTACTCCCGAAATAATCACTTCACATATTAAGTTTTTGTTATTTAATATAGTATAATTAATTTAATTTGTGATTTTAATTTTTGATCATTCGTTCAGTCGATTCTCTATTTGACTCCCATATTATTTTCTGATACATTTTATTTAACAACAATAATAATTGTAATAAATACAATCACAATCACATGTTTAAAAACAATATAGACAATTCAAATTATTCACTTAGTTTGATGTATTGTACGGGCATGTATGATATAATATGTTTCTGTTATTTTTGGCATTTGCGTAAGCAAATAAAGGTTACACCGAAAAACCAACATTCAATGGATGTAAACATTGTGATGGGATACGTGATCGGCAACACGGATATTTCACATAACTGGAATAGCCTGTTATTATTTGTGTGTCTCTAAGGATCTATTGTGTGAGACGAACGTAAACAAATTGGTTATCTATCTCATGGTTTTCGAAAATTAATTTTCAATACCAGTAAAAATGCAAAATATTTTTAAAATGTTTCTGCTCGTTATTGTTGGCATATTATTTCATATAGAAACTGTGCGAAATATTCAAAACGAAATAAAGAAATATAATATGATTTCTATCTGTGTTGCTATTATTATTTCTGTTTCTTTTTGCACAAATAAACACACACGAGAAAAATATAGTGACGTGTTTCGCATGAATGTGTGTTAACCATATTTTATTTCACTAGAATATATTGTGGAACTTAAGCAAATAAACAACTGTGGTATAACTCATCGGATAACATGTATAATGAACATTATAATATATTATATATATATACACAAGCTATAGACAATAAAAATTGTCGAATAATTACATTTTTCTACATGTCATGTCCCGCGCTTGGTGTTATAATAATCCTAAAATAAAAATGTTGTTTAATGATGTCAATAATTTATCATGATTTCGTTAATCGTAACACGTTTATAATAATTAATAAACATCGGTTAGCATGAGTTCGAGATTCTTTTTTGAACGAATATTTTTTGCAACATACAAGAGATTATTAAAATTGATTAGAGAACATTTGTCATCATGCAATTAATGAGAAGCTTAATAAAACATTATTTTTAATTAATAAACGAACATATTGGACTTGTTCACTGAATGGTTTTGAATACGTTTTGGTAATTTTTCGCGTTTAAACGTAACATTAATATTAGCTCTGAATTTAATGAAACTAGACAATCAAATTCCAAAATGTTTGTTCTTAACTTGTTTGTATTTTAAGTTGGTTTCGTTATTGTTTCTACTTATATCATAATAACCATTCATTTTCGTATTTAATCAACTCCGTAAATACTGTATTATTAAATATATATAATATAATATATATACACACATTTTTTGATTGTCTGTTTTTACATACAAAATTAAAATAAAAAAATATGAATTGTTGAAAGTTAAAAAACAATAGACTTATAATTATAATATATAAATTTTAAAATGCAATATTAAAAACCTCGAAGTAGATAGGTAGTTTTTATCTAAAAAAGGAGAAATCAATTTTAATATAAATTAAATATGACATGTTATTATGTTCTAGTCAGTTGTTAAAATAAATTCATTTAAGGATAATTTGTATAATTCCATAACTTAATAATTTGTAATTAAGTAACTGAATAAGTTAAAATCATTAATTTGGTATTTCATAGACTGAAATATTTATAAGTAATATATGATGTACGTGTCTCAACCAAATATATAGGTACTTAGTATGATTATTGTTCAAACAATTATGCAACTGAGGTGGAAGTAATATTTTAGTGATTCCCATCTCAGTTGCAATAACACAAGCAAAAAAAATATATTAAGTGAATACTAGTATATAAATTATTTTAAATTCTTACCTAATAATATGATATACCTTAAAAAGATTTCAATATTGTAATATATATATTATTTAAACATTATTTAATTATATATTTGTTGTATTTGTATTTTGTACACAGCGATTGTATATGTTATTATTTTTGTGTAATATGTTATTAGAAAACTGAATTCCAAGAATTTCCCAAAGTATACCTTCCAGTATAACCATATCTGATATAGGATATAAAAATGTGCAATTTATCTAAGTGCACTCGGGATTTTTCATAATATACCTATATTAAAATACATTCTTAATATGAGTTCATACTGAAACTAGCTTCAAAACTCTAATACTTGCAACTTTTACTCATACGAAAAAATAAATATATAGTTCGATAATATTTTAAAATATTTATTTTGTATTATGTGTATTTTTGAAATATTATGTTGCTACTCCATCGGATTACTCGAAAACGTTATTTCATAAATCTACCTAGTAAATAGGCTCTATTATTATTATTTATTGTTATTTGATAATATTTATTCGAATTTGGTATGAGAGTAACTAGGTACAATTCATTTTTACCATTAGTTGTACCCGTATTAAATAATATATTGAAAGCTTGAATAGGTTTAGTGTGGGATTTTTTTAAATATTTTCCAGAACAAATTTTGATTGGGTTTTCAAATAACGTTGTGATAGATTCAGAAGTAAAAAACTGAATTTCAAAGAATTAATTGTATTGTTTTTTCAGTTAGACTTAGAATAAAACAATTGTTTACAATGTTTTAATTATTTTTTTTCAAATTACACTAACATATTAATTAATTTTTAACAAGCTTACCATACGATTTGAACTCTATTCATAATGTTTTATTTAAAATAATGAGAATTTAATGTTTTTATAATAAAATCTTAATTTATCACGATAACGATATTTTATTTTTATTGGTTAAATCGTTAGTTTGTATAAGTAATTAAAATGCAAAATATATTTTAGCATTATTCCATAATATTATTTTGTTTTTAATTTTGAGACGTATTTAGACAGTTTAATATTTTTTATGTTATGGAAAAAAAATATAAGTTTAAGAACGTGGATGTTTTTCCTGATGATTTTATATCAATATATTTTGTAGGTATAAATAGATTTCCACGCCGTAATCCGATTTTGACAGGAAATGAAGTTTTCGATTAAACACACGTTACTAATAATACCAAATATTGAATACCGACTACGTTTTACACGCTTAACCGTTTATGAGCATGTAAGTACTGCATGTGTCCATTTGGAATTGGTTGCGAAATCTGCCTGCGGTTGCAATGTCGAGTGTAGATGTAAAGGCACTAAAAAAAAAATATATATATACTTTTTTTATATCATTTTTTTGAACCTCACGGTGGAATTAGAGAAAAGTTTACTGATTCGCTATTCATATATTTGATGGCTAGTTAAAATTTTATTACGCCGGGTGCACAATTCATTTTTTGTATTCAAACTGCGCGCTTAGGTCCCGTACGTGCCTGGCGGTGAAGGGGGGGGGGGAGGCACAGGAAGATAAGTTTTCTGCGGACAAACTGTATATTTCACGTACGTACATAATAAAATATACAATGAGAAATAATAATAACGACGATAACAGTAGTTATATAACAACAATAGTAGGCAACAATAATAATAATAATAATTATAATAATAACGACGTTGATGATGAGAGAACGAGAACGAGAATATGAAGGATACGAAGAACAAGTAGAAGAAGAGAAGAAGTCGACGGGGGACGACGTGTCGTAGGATGGCTGGGCGGACGAAGACCAATTGTGTGGGCGCGGCGGCGGCGGAGACCTCTTCCGGTTGCGCGGGTCGGAGGCGCGGAGCTTTCATCATTTGAACAGCACACGCCGGAAGCTGCGCCGGAAGTCCTTGTTGAATATCGTGTAGATGACCGGGTTGATGGCCGAGTTCATGTAGCCCAGCCAGAAGGCAATGGCGAAAGCCTGCGGCGGTATATAGCACACCGGACACAGAGGCGTCAGTATGTACATGAAGAAGAACGGAAGCCAACAGGCGATGAACGAGCCCATGATGAGGCCCAAAATGAGGGTGGCGCGCTTCTCCTTCTTGCGCGCGATGCGCCGCTTCTCGCGCTCCGGGTCCCGGGGCTTGGGCCGCGGCAGGCACGGCACCGGATCCACGGGCGTCCCGCCGTGGGACGCGTTCGAGACGCCGTACTGTTGGTGACCGTCACCGCCGCCGCCGCCGCCGCCGCGGCACGCCATGGACACCTTGCCCGTGTCCAGTATGTCCCGCTTGGCCTTGGCCGACGCCGCCTTGGCCGACTTGCGGCCGACGCCGAATATCGGCTTGCACAGCCGCGACTTGACCGGCTTGACGGCACCGCACTTTTGCACGTTGCCCGAGTCGGACGACGACGGCTCCAGCTCGCTGACCATGTCCGTGTCCACGGCCACGCTGGACGCCCGGCACCGGCCACCGCCGCCGCCGCCGCCGCCGCCCAGATCTCCGTTGACCGTCAGCCGGCGGCTGCCCTGCGTGGTGAACACCTTGAGCGTGTCCTTGTCGCCGTCCTTGCTCACGTCGCTGGTGCTCGCGTCGCTGGCGTAGTCGCAGGCGATCACCGGCAGCGTGGTGTTGACCGGCGTGGCCGGCGGCGACCGGAACGCGGTCAGCGGTACGCCGGCCGGCGACGGTCGGGTGATGAAGCTGGTCGTCTGGGACACCGTGGACGGGCTCTGCGCGGCAGCCGCGGCCGCGGCCGCCGCTTTCGCTGCCTTGGCCGCCCCTTTCTTCGGTTTCGACGGCGGTTTCCGGATGCCCCGCCGCGCCCGCGCCTTGGCGGCGAAATATATCCGGATGTACACGAACACCATGATGCACGACGGTATGTAGAACGAACCGAGAGCGGAGTATATCCGGTAGCCCAAGTCCTCGCTCAGCTGAAACACAAAAATCCAAACGAGCACGTGTCGATTATTTTTCGTTCACACATTATATACATAATAATATATTACAGTGGGTACACATAATATTATTAAACCACAATAAGACGGACGGCCGTCCTTTAGTCGGGTAGTTTACCGAGGTACCTATACTGGTGTTTATAAAAAAAAATACACAAGACACGTAATATTATTAGGTATTGTATAATATTAGAACAGGCAAAAGATAATATTTCGACTTTTCAAATACAAAATTTGGATTAGATTAATATGCTTGCTAGTACTCCACAATAACGTCATTGTTGTCATCGCGTGATGTGGTGCGCCCTAAGCCGATCGAAAACCGGGAATGTTTATTTTTGCACTGCCAGAAAACTTTCGGTTTGTGGAATATAATGTCAATGTGTGTGTGTGTTGTGCAAGTTTTCTGTGATACTGACGCACAGCACGAATGCTGTTTGAATATCGCAGTTATCTGCACAAGTTTTCGTCGAGCGAACGTGAAGTTTTCACGGTAGAAGCGGTAAGGCAAACTAACCGGACTATTTTAACGGGTAGATAGTGTAGTATGAACTAAAATTTTCCGCCCGATTAAGACAATTAAATTTCCATACTGACTATCACACAGCATTGCTGAATACAGGTGGTTTTATTTTAGTTTTAATAATAACTGTTGAATAACGAACAATCTATTTTGAATTCAATGGAACGAGTGCTCCAAAAAGCGAACTCAGTGTCTCAGTAATAACTGTTATGACATTAAATTGTATTTTGAGATTTATTTAATATGGTCAATAATTATAGTATCATCTGTTGTATTACTGAATACCTGCAACTTCATCACCCCAGCACCAATCTTCGACAAACACTCATCACAACTTCTTATTTTGTTATTTGTTTAACAAAATAACAAATTGTCCTATCTGTCATAATAAAATAAAAATTAGTTTCAAAGTGTGTAAGCGATTGATTGAAATGGAACCTAAGAAAAAAGTATAAAAGTGTTAAATTTAACTGTTGATTCTCGACGACTGCCGCACGATGATAATAATCACTCGTCAGATTATTGTTTCCTATTAATAATAATGACAAGACGTGACATATTTAATAACACAGTTATTGTAAACTTAAGGAAAAACTATACAATTCTTTAGGTATTACACGGTTCTAATATTATATCCATAAACAATTTTAAAGCAAAGAATAATATCAAATAATTGAAATTAAAAAAAAAATTCATTATACTCAAAAGTCACCAATTTCGTACAAACCAAAATCATGTTTCTAGTATCATTTCACAATCTGTCTTTTATAATTCAGACACTATACAAAGAAAATCCAAGAGAAAACGAATGATTAAAAAGTGAACAGTGAAACAATATTTTTACATTCTTAATTCCATATATATATATACCTTAGTATTTGTGGCAGAAGATACCGTGGATAGCCTTTAGAATTTATGTTTTAACAAAATAATAAATTTTTGTTTGTATTTATCTGAAATTTCACATGTCACTTATCATTGTATTGACTCTACTATAACTCTATATTGTAATAGATAACTCGTCTTAAATTTAATGATACGGTCACGTATAATACTGTTAATATTTTTTTTCTAAAAAGTGGCCAATGGTAATAAGATAATACTAGTCTAAGCTGGTAAAAAAAAAAGTTATTTATTTATATACCACGGATTTCTAAAGACCGAATCACTCACAAATATTTATATCCCTAACGGAAATAAAAACTTCACGAAAATTCTTTTTGTTTACTTAAAATACGATGTGGTATTTTTTTTTCACAATTCTCTCTCTCTGTGTCTGAATTAGCTCGACGCGCCCATTTTTCTCGGAACTCGATAAACTTATTAATTAATGCGAAATAAACGAGTAGTGTTTTTGTAAAATAATAAATAACAAAGAAATTATTTACAAGTTTAAGACAAAAAAAAAAAATTATTCCGAGCACCACATAGCAATGTAACGGGGATGACAGAGTTTAAACAGACGACTTTCCGAAAAAAAAAAAATTCTTGTGTAATGTAATTGAATTCGTCTTTATTGTGTACAATTCTTGTGCATTTGAATGAAATTGAATTTGGGTAAAATCGAATCATGCTAAAACTAATAAATAGAGCACTTTGGTTGCATCTATACATTTATTTTGATCCATCTGTAAGTAACAAGCTACATGATTTATTATCCGTCTATGCACTCTCACAACAATAATAATATTATTATTACAGGCGTATGCGTTTGAATACATAATCTAAATTTATTGTATCGCTACGATTATTACTTATTTTCAAAATATTACAGTAATATAAATATTTTTAGTTTTTACTTCATACAATGTTATAAGAGATATTATTTTAAAGTCAGAATAACGAATTAACTGCGAAGGGTGAACCCATTGCGGCCATCGCTCAACGAGCTATGATATAATAACACATTGCTGGCTACATTGTTTTATTTTCATAATGCACAGACACACAGTTATTCTTTTTATCATGAAATTATGTGTTATTGCTTTTTAATTTAATACTAACAACTAACATACAATACCTTGGTGCAGTGAACAATTAAAATTAGATTTATTTCATTTACAAAATATTATTTGCATAAAAAGAAATGTGTACATAATAGTAATGATACAATACTTTTATTTGGAATTACATTTAATCTTTTGTGGTCTGGTAATAAATTATTTTTATTATTAATTATTGTTTAAAGCTCGACATCTTAGGGTATTGTAAATATATTTTTTTATTTGTTGTAAAAACCATTAATAACACATATTGTGTTATCATATATTTCATAGTAATGATGTAAGTTATTACTTATTATTGAAAACATTATTCTACATACGAATTTGATTTATTTTCAATTTAATTTTTAATGGCAATAGAATTATTAATTTTAATTTTTTTTGTTTTTAATATAAGTGTTGAAATTGTTATGATCAATTGAAGCATAATGATATAAATGTATACATTTTTTTCTCATCCTCTTGATAAATCAAACTTAAGTGTGAAGTTTACTATTATTGATCCGCGGCATTGATGAATATTTATTTTAAAGTGCGATAATAATCATATTAATTTATGGAAAACGGTTTCAAGTAGATATCGGCATATAAATAAATGTCAAAATTTTGTTTATGCTTAATTTTTTTTTTTTTTTTAAACAGCAATACTATAATTTCTTTCAATTCCAATGAAAATGTTCAAGTTCCAATCAGATTGCTCCTTCTTCATTTTATTGTTATGTACTGTACAATTTAAAATAGGTATTTTAAATATCTACTTAATTTTTACATCTTAATATTTCCTGCTAGTTATACTTATTTTTAATGGATGATATTATTTTTATTATTATACTTAACTTGTTCTCTATGTAGGTACTCAATTGAAAAATTAATTATGCGTAATTGTTGATTATGTACTATACAAATTTACAATATTTAAAGGTAAACAACCATGCAATTTTCAGATTAGCACAATACTCATTTAGAACTCGGAAACACCAAATATCCTTGTTAAGTTCCTAGAGTAATGTACTTGAGTAAATGTGAAAATTGTTTAGTACAATTTAAGTACTAGGTTTATTTTTATTTTTATTCTATGCCTGGAAATGTTAATTCAATAAAGTTTTGTCCATCGAGCATTATATAGTAAAATAAAAACTGTATGCCTGTAATTATTCAATGTCTCACCGAAAAGCAGAGACTATAAATCTTATAATATATGATTTAAAATACCTTATTTAAATTGGAATATTTCTAAATACAAGAAGTTAGGTCATTAAATCTAAGAGACAGTATCATATTATTATGTGTTTATGGCATGTCCCCGAACATAAATGAAGGTTGATTATTAGTGAGGATATAATTTTAAAAACCATACTTTTTTATATGAGTATTATATTTCAATTAAATATAATTATGTTATTCACTACAGATTATCTAATTTAATATAAGTCACGTATATTTTTCCTTAAATTATACAGTTTAAAATGTTTGCTTAAAATCTTAGATTTTTTTTTCTTTAGTTTTCTTACAAAAATATTTTTAAAATGTTTGGCTTTAAGATAATAATAATTTGGATATAGCTATTGAATAATAAGAAAATTAACTGTAACGAGTGAATTTCAACTTAACACCCACTACTTTTTCTTCTTTATGTAAAATAATAACAAAAACCAATTTACTCGTTATCCAAACCTCACTACCAAGACGTGGTTTATGGGATGTTTTTGCTAAATATTTCCCTCCAGAATACCCACAGTAAATTGTAAAATATTATTTTTCTGTTTCAAGTAATGATTACCTATAGGTAAATTAAGTAAATACCGAAATTTTGAGTTAAAAATTTAAACTGCTTATTAAAACATAAACGCATCTTTTATTACTATGTTGTTGTTTTAAATTATTTAGGTACTTTAATTGATTATTTATTTTATCACTGAATTTTATTATGCAATAGTTCGTTATTTAGATAACTCGAAAGCGTAAAAATAATATTACTGGGAAAATGTTCTAAAAGTTTTTCCAGGATTTTGCTCTCTACTAAATATACTTCTTTAATATTTTGTCTAAAGTTTTCAAGTCGTAAAATTATTTTACACCTTCCTGATTAAAAGTCATTTTCCACGCTGTACAAGTTCAAGAGGATTTCTAAGCCTCTGTTTAAAATTATGATATTCTCTATCCTGGTCGTATCAGCCGAATATCGTTCGCAATTTAAATGTGCACAGTTAATTTTAACGTTGTTCAATACTTGTGATAATCACCAAATGAAATTGGAGTCTATAATATAAATTATAATATTATTCTATAGTTTGTAGAGCACTATTAAGAGCTTCGTTCATCCCACTCAAACAATAATCAAGTGGTTTTGGGTCGAATTAATATGTGAACTGATTAATCACACACTATAATATATACAATCCGGAAGGGAGGATATTCTTGAAATGATACGAGTTGCATCCGGACATTAC